ACAGTGGCAAAAATCCTATTGCAAAGCTATGCCTGTGGAAGGCAAATGGCCTAACTCACAGTGGCTTCTTGCTGCTGATTAACAAGTCTTTTGAATTTTCTGATACATGCTAGTCTGACGAGTTAATATGCATCCAGAAACCCAACCAGGGACTTATTGTCAGGGAGAAACTGCTGTAAGTTACACTGTCTGCTGTCCCCAAGCAAAACTACAGGACAGGATTTTTACCACCGTAACACAATTAATATACAAATATAAATTTATTTATTTAATTAATTTATACGCCACCCACGTTACCCAAAGGTCTCTATTATTATCAAATTTTAAATGTATGAAGGTGAGACAGTAAAGGTATGGCTGTACTAGCAGCAGGGAGGCAAGCTAATGTGGCATGCTTGGGAATGGATGGGCTTAATTAGAACGATCTAATCCAGCCCAACCAACATGGAAATAGCTTCTGCCAATATTGTGAAGTGGCTTTATGAGTGAGCCACATCAGCATATTGGCAAATTAATAACTTTCCCTGCTTGGCAAAAGGCATGGAGGGTGGAGGAAAAAACTGACTGCATAAAGACCAGTGGTGGCAAACCTTTTTGGGCTTGTGTGCCCAAACTATTGGGGGGGACGGGACACAGTGGGCAGAGTGCCGCAGCAGCAGCGGAACCGGAAGTAGCAGTGGAAGCGGGAATCCCAGCACAGAGGTGCCTCAAGACCCCACTCCGGATCCGCTGCCAGCACCAGCTGCTCCAGATCTGCCCGCCGAAGCGCCAGTACTGCGGCTGCAGCCGCCTTCTCAGGTCTGGCTGTGCGGGGGGGGGGGGAAGCGATCTGGCGACTTATGGCTCATGTGCCGGCAGAAAGGGCTCCACATGCCAGCTGTGGCATGCGTGCCATAGGTTCGCCATCGCTGATATAGACTATTGCTGATGTACTGCACCAGTTATCTAGACAAAGTATTTTTTCCTTTGCTTTTCCTTAAAGGGTTGCTCAAGAAACTGCTTGCAGCTGAAGCCACTGATGCGATCTGATGGCTGTTGTAGGTTTTTCCGGCTGGCTGGCCGTGTTCTTGAGGTTTTTCTTCCTAACATTTCAGTCTCTGTGGCCGGCATCTTCAGAGGACAGGAGTCAGAACTCTTTATGTGCTCTGGTGCAGTTTGTGGGATAGTTGAGTATTTATAGCTGTGGGATCAGCTTTTTGTCCTTTTCAGGAGATTGGGTGGTTATGGTGACCAGTGTGTTTTTTGTTGTGGGTGTATTGTTGTGATAAGGAGGATTTTCCTTTTCTTTCTTTCTCTCTCTCTCTCTCTCTCTCTCTGTGTGTGTGTGTGTGTAAGTAGTTAGTTTGCTAATATTCTGAGGTGGCTTGCTTATTAGGCCACATCATATTAGCAAACTGAAAAGCAAAGGCTTGCTTTGAATTGGTTCCAGCAATCATATGGACTGGAACCAATCCAAAACAGAGCAATCACATCCCTACTAAAAAAGTAAAAGTCCCTTGACAAGGACAGGTAGGAGCACTTTGGGGCAGGCTGGTGCACTGTAGCAAATATGTCATCTATTCACCCTCTTTAAGAGTGCATCAGCCCTCTCTGCAGCTCTCCAGACAAAAAGCTAAACAACCTGTATAGCCAGCCTGTATTTTCATTTAGGAGACTTGGAATTTAGGGTCCACCTATCACAGATATAACAATTTATTTTAATAATATCTCAGAGTGTTGGAGGAAGAGTTTAGCCTGGAAGACCTGATTCAACTGCATTTTTTTAATTGTGTGCTTAGGCACCAACTGTGATTTCCTTCTTATTTGCAAGAGAATCTATTGGAACTAAAGGGTCATGTAAAAAAAGGTCATATTTTGGTTTCTACTTTACTAGTACTTTCAGACATACTTATCAAATTATATAAGTGTTTATATATTTATTTATATATATACATGGTACCATTATAGAGGGGAAAAACATATCTAGCAATCTGAACAAAAAAAGTCATGTATGAATCACAAAGTATGCTGCTTTCCTCAACCACATTCCCTCCAGACATCTTCAGTTACGACACCCATCTGCCCCACCCAGCAGGGCCTATAATGATGACTTGCACTCTAAACTATCCAAGGGCAGCAGTGAGAAAGATGAATGTATGTGTTACGTTCTGAATCAACTTCAAGTACACGTAGCCAGGGTACAGAACTGATAAACATGGTAGCACATAAATATAGCATCCATCTATTTATACCATCCATCTCAACACCATTCTCTATATAAATACTTGCAGAGAATCATAGGATCAATTTTAGGGGGAAACCCCTCCTCTATTTTCTTTGGGCCTGTCTCGCAAACCTACTTCTTGCTTTCCTACCCCCAACACCTCTTCCATAGCACTTTCTTGATTACCTTTTTCCATTCTATAAATACAAACATTTAATAGTAGCTGAGAATCCATTTAGATGTTTTTTAAATAAACGTAAGATGGAGAATTACAGCCATGTCAAAATGTTGTTCTAGGCTCTCTGAGAAGCTGAGACCACATTGCTGCATTATTTTTCCTTTGCGTCACATTTGGAAGGCCACGTCTGAGCAACTTAAAAATTGGCTTTATGCCAGTCTCTGACACTGACTGGGGCTGAGGACTAGTGATTAAACCTGAATAGCATCTCAGTATCCTGGTGTGTTATAAAGATAATAAGTACATTTTTGCTAGGATAGCCTATATAATCATCAATTCATTGACATGTTTTTTCAATTCCACTGAAGTATATATAGTCTGCTCAAGAGAGTACTGAATTAAATTAATCAAGAAACAAAAACAAAACATAAGTGATAATCCTGTTCAAGTGTTCACAAGTTTTCAAAGATGGCATTGGTGATCCAGTACATTTGTAAAAGTCTGACATGTAATAGATAATGAATGCTGAACTAGAATTCAGGAGCCCTAGGTCCAAATTCCCACTCGGTTATGGAAACTCGGTGTTTTTTTTACAAAAGTAAACAAACCTTGCACATCTCACATTATCTTGAAACCGCCATTAGGGTGGCCAAATGTCAGAAGCAACTTAACACAACAGCATGCATATGTACTGAAATACCCCACTAACTGTAACAGGGCTCATGCACAACTATTAAGAGCAATTCAGCCCAGAGTCACTGAAGAGACAGACTATGGTCCCGTCTCTATGCACACAATTTTTCTTATGCTCCATCACAAGTTGATTTTGCACAAAATCTAGGTAGAATTTAAAGCTAATAAGATCAGGGGAGCAATCAGGAATCTACACAAAACAGGAAGGCTTGATTTCAGCCTCAGCTGTCCTGTGTGGTTCTCCTATCTTTCCTCAGGACCCAGCTCCTTCAACACAATAAGAAATTCTCCTGCTTTGGAACTTTCTCATTGAACTGGTTAAATAGGGGAATCTTTTCTGCTCACCTACTTTACATTTCACTTCTACCCCACCTTTTTATCTCCAGTGTAGCTAGAAACCACCACCTCAAGGCTATGCCCACAACAGACTGCCCCCCCCACATAACCCAAGGGACAAAACTAGGCAAGTTCTCCCTCCCTGCCCTAACGATGGGCAGGCAGCCGAGGGGAAACGGCGCCCAGAGACAGGGTGCACAACCGCCCCGCCTGCTCGCTTCCTTCCGCCCGGGAGCATCGGCGGTTTTTATTTGCTTTGCTTCCCCCCCCTCCTCCAACAGCCATTTTACCCTTAAAGTGTCTC